TTTAAGGTTTTTTTTTCTAATGATGTAGATTTCATAGGTAATTGTAATAAAATATTAATGATATGGTAATTCGTAAACATATTTTACTTCATTTATTTGTAACTTAAACGACATTTCTAAAACTACACGTAAAATTATTGATTGTAAGAAAAACCAAGCGTAAAACATGTTTCATTTTGATGTAAAAAAATTACTTTCTCACTATTAATTAGTTGTTATAAAGATGTTTAATTTAACATACAAAGTCTCGAACAAATCTTATTATAGAAACAAAATTTAGTTTTTTTTCTGCACCTAATAACAAATAGTGCAGACCCATAGAGAAAAAAGTATCGATACCTACATGTCACCGTATTTGAAGTTTTAAATGGCACTGCATATCAGCAAACGCGGGAATTTTGCACACAACGCGCACGTGTCGTCATGTTTAAAAGCATTTAAATCTTACGAAATTAGGTATTGTTCTAGTATTACAACAATAAAAAAAGATGTACTTACCAAGTTTGTCACAAATAATTACTTTCTGATTTTTTTCAAGCTGTACTTGTTTATTTTGATATATCTGGCTCACCTAACCTAACTTGAGATAACATTAATTCATTTTTTTTTTAACAAGTACCTATGTTTGATTACGTATTAAAAATATCAAAGTCATTATCCTGCACAATTGACAACTGATGTACATCGAACATATTTTTATATAAAAGTGATCACGTGAAAAAATTACTAATGCAGTAAAGCGGTTTTAAACGACTAGAAGACCGGAGATAATTTTCTCAAGTAAATAATAGTAATCACTCTGATTTTAAATACATTATGAAAAAAAATCACTTTAAAGTTCCTTTGGTGAAATCTTTATTATACATACAAAATAAATACACGCACAAAAATACTGTGTAAAAGAAAAATAGCTACTGCTTACTGTTGCTCTATTTCGTCTATCGTATCGTCCGCTATGGACTATAAATATAGCTATATTAAAGATGTACTAAGCTATACATATTTATGTATATTAGTGATCCTCTGGGCGGGATAGTTGACTCTGTACCGACGGTCGACACGAGATAAGAGAGAGACCTGCAGTTCGAGCGAGTCAGTCAACCGTCGGTACAGCAACAAAAAAATTTGGGCCCTGCTGTATCGACAGTTGACTGACGTAATTAATTATTGGTGCCACGAGATTTCTCAACTTGATTTCTCAATCTCAAGAATAATCGTACGCTAGGTGGCGCTGGTGAATTATGGGCTGAGATGAAGAGATTGAGGTGTAGTAGATATATATACAAAGCCGCCGACTATTTTCGATCATTATAGAGGTTATATGTCTGTAGTTTTCGATTATCTCTGTTTTCGATACGCAGGAATGTTGAAAATAAGTAAAAAATGTTACTCGAAAAATCATTTTGGAGTAAGATTAAATGAAAATAAATAAATAAAAGCGCTACGAGTTGTTTTTAATGGATGAAAGTATAAGTATACGTTTGTATTTTCAGGAAACTGAAATATTTAAATCTTCATTATCATTATTATTAAAAAATGCATTTACTCTTACAAATACTGAAATAGACTTCAAACTATATGGGAAGTAGATTTATAAATTAAAAATATTTTCGTAAGTGTTCGTTTTTTTTTTAATCAAAAGTGACAGTATAAGTGATTTTAAATAATACTTTATAACAACGTGTGATGCTGAATCAATGTTTTGATAGCTTTTCATGAATATGAAGTTGTTTTTGGATGATTAGAATTGAATAAAAAAGCAGTTTGTTATCTTTAACACACTTCCTTTAATTGGAACAATTGTCACATATTTAAATTTGTCTAAATTTCGCAAGAATATTCAAAGGAATATAAACTTTTTCGTTCATCTGCTTAAACTTTTCGGCTGTTGTTATAAGTAAAGTACAGTAAATTTATTGCTTTAAAGTTAACATTTGAGTTATAGAAATTGATGTTCACATGTATTCTGTTGTTGATTTTCTTGCATTAACTATTAAAAGGACGAGAAAGATGTTCTACACGCTAAAACTGTATGTAAAGTTAAAAACGCTTTCGACGGTGATGAATATTTTTTTTTGTAACTGTAAAATTTTCTTGTTGAGTTACAAGTAGTCATTGTTGTAAACATGTATCATTTTTTGCAATTTTTTTTTAAATGGACGTCCATTAGTATTGTTATTATTATTGCGAAAAAGGTTGAGTAGACTCGATCGAAAGCGTTGGAAGATAAAAGTGTCCGGAAAAATCCTGTTATTTTCTACAAGTAGGAGATACAGAGTAAAAGTTGAATATAGTGTAGGAAAGAGAAAATAGTGTCGAAGCTCAAGTTCATAGTGTATGTAATCGACTTTTGTTTGTATACAATATGTATAATTCGTTTGTAAGTTTAACTTTTCTTTTTTTAACGTTTAAGAGTTAAATCTCATAATTTTTTTACATCTTCCTCTTTAATTTCAGTATCTTTGTAATTTTTAAAACTTTTGAAAGCAGATTCCCTCACAACTGAACTATCGTATAGTTTGTATCTTTATTTACTTTTTGTTTCTTAAATTTATTCATCATATAAATTAGCACAAGACGAACAGATGTACACTTTAGGAAATACACTGGAGTGATTAAATCTATACCGCCACTTTCGAAATATAGAAATAGTAAAGTCGCCGAATCGTCGATCCATCTATTTTTCCTTTAAATGAGTTTTTTTTGTTTTTTTTTTGTACGTGGTGTATTTTTAATGGTATAGCATTTACAACGACTCAGCGACTCGTCAACAGGATTATATTTTAATTTATACACCTTTAGATTGTTAATAATAATAATGATGATAATAATAATCTTTCGTTCATTTATTCGCGTAAAGTCTCTCTTGGGAAAAAAACATCGTCCTTTTCCTTGCATCGCACACCATTATTCATATATTTATAAATCGACAATGCAAAGGGCGAACGGCACAATATTAAGTGCTATATAATTCCACATATTTGTCATTTGCTTTTTCCTTATCATATTTAATGTTAAGTATTTTTCTGCTTAAATGTGGGAAGAATAAAAAGCGCGCACTTATGTTTTTCTTTGTTTTTTTGCAAAATTTGCAAGAACTGGCTGACTCGTGCGCTTTTCGAACGAACATCAAGCTTTTTAAAAATGACAAAAAAATCGATGACACACGAAGACGAAAAATTAATCGACCTCTCGGTTTGCTTAATTCGTTTATCCAAATACACACGCGCGCATTTGCATACATACTACACACTTCGCGATTTCAATCACTCGATGACATAAACTACGCTGTATACATACAAATCGGTATCACATACGATACGAAAAGAAATTTTTAATTTTACAAAAAGGTCATACACTTTTATACGCTTATGAACAATACGAGTCTAACATTTTTTGCCAAAAAAATATATATAAATATTTCTTTCTTTATTGATTTTTCGTTTCTTCCGTAAATTTTAATAACGGTTGAGCTTTCTTTATTTGTTTTTTTGAAGAAAAAAAAAAAATAAAATAAAATGAAAGGAAAAAAATGACTAACTTCATTGTGAACAATCTACCTTGCCAACTTGTACGAATTCACGCGCGACACCGAGTCACGACGAAATAACAAGAAATAGTGTTCTCGCGCACCTTGTACGTTATTTTTATACATAATACATGATAATTTACCTTTCACTTGACGACAAACGACACAGAACAACACGACTATAACGATATAATTTACGAATTATCGATGTGCCAAGCGATTAATTATTTTATTATTTCTTTACTCATTTATATTTGTACACCAGTTTTATTTTATTTTATTTCTTTATTTATGTGTATGTATATCCTTATTAATAATCATTATCAATAAAATTTAACAAACAATATGTCATAACGGTACTGGTGTACCGAACACTGGACTGAAACACTGGACTCAGCGTCGCGTTTAGAATAATCATATATATATTATTAATATTAAAATAAATTTGTGCCAACGGGCCCGGCCTTCGATCGAGTCGAATCAGTCGTTATAATGTATATTTATACGTCCCGTGTACAGTTTATTTTCTCCAATTTTCTTTTCCCGTACTCCTCTTTTTAATGTTTCATTGCGCGAGGAGAGGGTCAAAGTCTCGAGGCGGCAGATACACCTGATCAACGGTCCTGCCCGCGTCTCCTTCGAAGCTGTAACATTTTTTTTTTTTTTCCTACAATATTAATCACGTCCACGTGACTAAGATAAAAAAGGAAATACGTGTGCGCTATAACTTTTCCTCATTTCGTCCTTTTGTGCTTCATTGGCTGCAATTATTTTTAGAAGATTCGCTAGTTATATCTTTCGTCGTCGAGGTGCATGATTTACGTAACAATTGCGTCTTAGGTAAAAATACTCTTTTTTTTCTTTTTTTATTCATTTTTTATTTTTTATTTTCTTCTTACATTATTCAACAAGTTTCAACACGTTATACAATACATTCTCTGCTAAGTTAGAAAAATAAAAGTTTCCATCGCCATCACAACCTTTCGTTTTCCAANAAATAAAAACTGAAGCTTGGCGAAAAAAAAAAAAAAAAAAAAAAATTGTAACAAGGACGAAAAGCAGCTCTAGAAGGAGACACGTGAAAAACGAGTGAGAAAAAAAAGAAGCGCAGCACCGCGGGGCACTGCCGACTCGAGACAACGACGCGACGAGTTGACCAAGAGCAGAAAGTCTAAGTATAGTCTCGCGTCGCGCGCCTCAACATTTTTTCCATCCCATAGCTATTGACGAAACAACGAGAGATGAACGCAACCATGTTGTGCCCAAGCGCTCCTTTGCCTCTCTGCGCTCGGCAAAACCTTGGAACCGCGTGCGGACTAGTCTGACATTTGTTGCTTAGAAAATTCGTATTTCAACTCGTCTGATATATATATATACGTGTATATATTATTTAGAAAAATTTTTTTTGCTCGACTAGTTTGCGGTGGACACAGACGCCTTAGGCCCAGCGGGCCCTGGAGGGTCCCCGTCGCTGCCGCCGTCGCTTTGTCGTCGGCTGCACATGTACTCACACCCTCGGGGGATTCATTCAAATAAGTATGAATTTTCAGTGAGTATTTGACAGGAGTTTGAACATGTTTTTCTTTTTTTCCTTCCAAGAAGAGGTAGCATTGGTATTATGGGTTTGCGATTTTTTTTTTTTACGGATACAACTCGTGTTTGTGGCAAAAAAATATGTTTAGTGCATATATTCTGGCAAACAATATTTTTATTGAAACAAACTGTGAGATTTGTGTTTTTTTTTTTTGTTTTGTTTTTTTTTGTTTTGTTTTATAAACGATGAAATATTTTGCTTTTGAATGGTACGCTCGTTGGGACAATCATGTTTTTGGTAGAATCAAAAGAATGTAAATTGAAATTTAACACAAATGCTATGTATCCTTTAATTAAAGTGTTAATTACACCTATAAAGTAACATTTTTGTATAGTGTATAAAAAATTTTAAACGTATCAATTTTACAGTTTGAACTTACAAAAAACGTGTTTAATAGCTAAATATACTAAATATATACATCATGTAAAACGTGTAGTTAATTGTATGTATATATTAAACTTATTTTATTGAAATAGCGTTAAATTATTCGTGTATCATTTAAATTAAAAATATTATAATAGATTTATCGCTGTGTGTAAGTGTTAAAAGAAAAAAAAAAAAATTGAAATTTGTAGCGTTTATAAAGTAATATAATAAACTATAAATAATTAACTGTTTTTCAACTCCAAACAAATAGGTTCAGAACTTTTGCGCAATGAATGAATATTTGTACTCACACAATACATTGGAGTCAAAAACTAACTTCATACAGTTGTTGAAGTATATGAAAAAAGTATTTGAATTTCCTTCATTACAACAAACAATAAAACGAACACTTCTACTAAAATTCATTTTGAAGATGCATAAAGTTATCAAATAAGATTCGTGGTAAATGTTAACTGTAATTATTTATGATTTAACAAAACCAACAAAAGTATAAGACTTTAAAAATTATTACAGTGTATCATGCAAATCACTGATGGTCGAATGTCTGCTTTCATTCTACAATTATTTCTTCGTTTTATACATACATGTATGAAAAAAAAAAAAAAAAAAATTTGTTCCTTCGTTGTATGTTGCTCCTTTATTTGCATATTTGTAATGAGCTGATCGAGCTTTTGTGTTTATTTAGAATCCGTATTTACTTGGAACACCGTTTGCGGCTTTTTAACACAAAAACAAGACAAAAGCAACAACAAAAAATCTCGCGCTATGTGTACAAAACGAGAAATATTTACATTTTACGCGTTTTCGGTGCTTCATTGTTTTTATAGTCTATATTCATACAAAGCGTTTTATCGCATGAATCGCCTGATAATCCCGTCAAGTTTTTGATTTTTGTACTACAATCATAACGACTCGAACAAGCACATTCTCGTCACTTGTGCCAAATATGTAATTGTATCGTCAAATATTGTAAACTATTCAAATTACACATGCCCTTGGAAACAACTTTTGCCCCGAGAAAAGACCCAAAAATCACCGCACGTGCGTAAAATCAATACGCCAATCAGCTGGACGAAAGACGCCTGCAAAAGTAAACTCAAATCCCAACGCGAGCGGTGACTCAAAGCATATTTATATGTGCAAAAGAGGGAGGGGGAGGGCAAAAAGAAAAAAAAAATAACGTGCATTTTTCATACAGCATGCCATCTCTTCGTGGGCGGCTCCGTGATATTATACCCTCGTTTGTATATATACATATACTCAGTAAAAGAGAGGGTCGGCCGACGACATGGTAGTGGTCGAGCGGCCGCGGCGGGAATATACAGTGCCGGAGAATCTTTGTCATTGCGCATCATCATCCTCCTCGCTTTACGCTCTCGATCCGTCTGCTCTGATTATTTTTGTTGTATTGTTCATAATATGCGGGTGTCTGGGTACAAGTTTTCGTGTGCGATAAGCTCCTTAACTGTTTTTTTGTATTATTGTTGAGATGATTGATGTTGTTTGTTGTTGTTTGTTGTTGTTTGTTGTTGTTTGTCGTCAATTCAAACGGATCACGATAGCTAGGCACTCCCACCAGGGTCTCACTGAGCCTGTGCGCTTGGGTCGCACTGCAACAGCCGCACAATGGACGGGTCGCTCTTGGCACCCTCGATGAACTCCTCGAGGGACAACTTGCCGTCCTTGTTTTTGTCCATCTGCCGGAATATCTTGTCCGTGCGCTTCTCCGGCGTCGACTCGTCCTCGGGCATCTTCATCACCGAACCGACCATTTTGTATATTGCCTGTTGATCAAATATATTACGTGTTTAACCACATAATGCTCTTATTTACGTTTTTTTTATGAACATTATTTTTTTTACTCGTGCATTGAGAGTTGTTGGTAAGGTAGGTCGCGCAATATCATAATTTAAGGTGTTTGGGTATATTTATAATATAGGTATGTCCCCTCGAAGAAAATTCAATTTTAAGTATACGTAGTCTGATAACGACTTGTTCAGTCTTAATAAACAAGAATATCTTTACATGGACGAGCAATACCTCTTATATTCAACGCAATCGAGTAACCTTCGATTGATTTTATAATACAATTCTCAACAATATTAAAAATACCAACAACAACAAAAAATAAATGAACAAATAAATAATAAAATTTCACTATCTTGATGAGACGTGTTTCTCGACAAAAAAAAAATTCCCAACGAAAGCTATGTATACGGGGCGCATTGAGCAATTACCGTGACGATTTCCAGCATCTCCTGTCGCGAGATGTAGCCGTTTCCGTCAAGGTCGTACATACTGAAGGCCCACTTGAGCTTCTGCTCGAGCTTTCCGCGCGAGGTGACGCTCAGGGCACACAGGAATTCCCGGAAGTCGATCGTTCCGTCCCCGTTCGCGTCGAACGTTCTAAAGACGTGCTCTGCAAACTAATCACACGCACACACACACAAAGTGTATTAAAACAATGATAAATTTACAGTGTTTTTTTTTTTTTTTATTGCATTCTGCTAGCTCCACTGCGTTGTATATATAAAAGAAAAAAAAACACCTCTTCTCAGCGAAGCAACTTTCGCGTGGCTGACTAATGCGTGAGGTGCACTACTTGAATTGAATTTGCACTTAATTTTTAACATTTAATTTTAATACTTTTGAGTGGTAGCAGGATGTGTTTCATGGAATCGATATAGTAGTATTTTTTAAGATATTAACAAAATTTTAGTGAATGGAAAAAAAAAACAAACAATTTTTATTCCTCAAAATATATTAATAATTGTTGTATGCAAGGAATAGAAGTTAATTGACATTATATTATATATAAAAAAAATCTGTTCATGTAAAGCAGTGATACACACCCTATCTCCATTCAAACATCAGATTAACCCATTAATTATCAACAATACTTCTGCGGTACATTAATAAAAAAAAGTAATTAAATTTGTTAATTTTGTTTTTTATCCATGAATTGGATTAACCATCGCCTTCCATTAACGTACCTTAGCAGTAGCACTGATAATTACCGAGAACCGTGAAATTATTCATTATAAACTAATACAAGCTTAAAAAATCACATTGTTCGCTAGTGTGCTAAATCTACTAATTATGTATATATTTGGAGCAATTAATTCGCAAAAGTGGAGGACAGAAATTTCATGTGTGCACTTTGCTTTACGTCATGAGTAAATATAAAAAAGTAATTACGGATCTTTAAAAGCCACAAACGAGGCGTCATGCGGCTTCGCAAAATTTACTTTTGCGATGCAAAGCTGAGTCAACTTTTCGTCGTTAGAACTTTGTTTTAATTGATATATTGGAAGCAACATTTTTCTAAAAAAAAGTTTTAAAAAAAGCATGTTTTTTTTTTTTTTTTTTTTTTTTTTTTTTTTTTTTTTTTTTTTTTTTTTTTT